TTAGTACACGGTTAGCAGGTTTGTTAGTAAAATTTGTTAAAATTTGGTGATTTCAAAAATTATTTAGGTCGGAGAACAATATCTAAATTTATGTATCTAAATTTTTTTATATTAGTGTTAAATTAATGCCAAATTTGGTTTAAATGCAGTATTTTTAATTTGTTATACATTTGGGTTTTATTTTTTTAAAAAGCTTTATTTTACCTGAAAAGTTTATCTTATATGAGATTCAGTTATCTTTGAAATAAATAAAGTAGGTTTAGAATTAATACATGTGAAATAGTCGAGATTCACAGTGGGGTATATACTGATTAAATCCAGGCTCTGAGACGCTTTGATTTATTTAAACAGAGTGAGATCTACTAGTCTGTTATCATTTTTGGTCATAAATTTTGATCATAATGAGAATTAGAGTCCGCGATCTAAAAAATATTGTTTTAATGGACGAAAGTTATGAAAAATATCGACATCATTTCACAACTACACCTCTTAATTTTTTAATTAAAGAAAACGTTAGTTTTTCGAAGCAACCAGAATGTGTTCATGATGTATTAAAAAGAATTAAAGATAGTAATAATTATGATGATGATTTTTATGTGGCAGCTCAGAAATTTATTAATAATAGTATTTAATCAGTTATTTTTTTTATCAAGCAGTTGATTTTTTTTAATTTATATTCTCATTAATAGAAGGAACAGCAAGCCAAGGAAATACCATAATTAATAATTATGATGACAATTTTTATGTGGCAGTTCGGAAATATGGTATTTAATCTGTTATTTTTTTTTATCAAGCAGTTGAATTTTTTTTTTAATTTATATTCTCGTTAATAGAAGGAACAGCAAGCCAAGGAAATACCATAATTAATAATTATAATATTAAGATTGCAATCAGTGATGTAATGTTGTTGATATTGCTTACAGTTAACATCCTTGTGTTATTTTTTTCGATCTATATTAGTCTTTTTGAAGCTGAAATATTACTCATATCATTTACATTTAACATCCTAGTGTTATCCATTTCTATCTACATTTGTATTTGATTACAACATGTACTTCAGGTTGATTTAGTTTAATTTGGTTTTCTTGTTTCTTTGTCATTTGCAAAAAAATTAATAAAATTTGAAGTATAAGTTGTTACCGTGTCCTCGTAGAATTTGAAAAACTTCTAATATTTTAAATTTGTTTTATCAATTGTTGAGATTAATTTTTGATAGCTCTATCAGAAATTGAATCTTATTTCGACAACCTTTATTATAAACAATTATATGTTTATACATACTATGGATTGGGATGTAGACAAAATAGGAAGGATGCTTTATATCATTTAACCCGTAAAAAAGTTAATAAGTAAGTATTCAATGATAATTATTTGAAAAATATATAATGTAAAAAAAAGAAGGACGAATAAGAAAGTATAAAATAATGGTAGTCATAGTTATTTGGAAGTAGAATCTATATTCATATTGATTTTCATTATTCAAATGCCGATTTTTACTTTTCAAAGACTGAGTTTTAATTTCCAAATATAACTGAATTTCATTTTCCAATTCTTGTATAATTCTATTAGATTGAATTGTTGGATTAAGTAAAAGCATAAAATAGTTATACAAAATTTACCTTTTC